ACAGTTTATAAACTTGCAAGTGAAAATATCTAACACATGCTCTTCAAAATTTCACATTAATTATTATAATGAGAAATTTCATACTAAATTCATATTAACATGCTTTATCTATAATTTTAGTAATTACTCCATTCAACTCATTTTAAGTTTAACTTTAACATATGTATTCTCAACATATATATAAAATTTCCATAAAAATTTCACTTTAAAATAATACTCATATATTTAGATATATTATTTCAAAATTGAAAATATAACAAAATATTCAATTTGCTATCATACTTGTCTTTGAAAAAAATCTATTTCTCATGCTTCAATTATTTAAAAAAATTCTAAAACTTTAAAACATAAGTCTCAACTAAATCAAGAAATATCCTGTAAATTTTCTCATAAAAATAATAACCATAAAGGAAGATATGAATTTCCAAATAATGCTTCTCTTGTTGAAATTCGAGATTTACTCACTTATGTTCATTATTTTCTATAGCATGCTAAACAACTCCAATAAATATAAGATTTAAACTGGAAGATCTTAACTAATATATGAATTGACCATAAAATTCTCAACTCTAAATAATATCAATAGATAGGGTAATTTCATATCACAAGTCATCATTACTACACAGATTTTTCACTGGACAGCAGCTTAATCAATGATTTTTATAAAATTCATTTTAACTTTAATTAATCTAAAACTTTCCATTAATACCCTTAACATAATGATGATCTCATATAAAAATTTTCATAATTTTTAAAATTTAATAGCTTTGTCAAAAACGAACAAATATAGGCAGCTGCAACATAAACTTTAAATAATCTTACTTTATAATCTTATTATATATATTTATATATATCAATTCATAATTTCTAACATGATAACATATAAAAAAAACATATAAATACTCATAATTCTTAGATATACTTGATGATATTAAAGTTTGAAGACATACCTCTTCTACTCTTAAGAAAAGAAACTTGCTCCAAACACTTCTCGAAATTGCTCGGTTTCTCTCTTAAATACTCGATTCTCACTATTTCTCTCTTATAACATAAATTCTGAATTTTTGAGATGTAATACTAACATTGAAGAATGCTCCTATTTATAGGAAAATTTTAGGGGACAAGCATCTCCAAATTTCAATTTAATATCATTTAAATACTAATTTGTACAACAAATATGCTAAAAAAAATGCCCCACTCTTAATTTTTAATTTAGTTGACCAATATTATTAAATTTTTCAGCTCAATAATTGTATAAAATAACATAAAATTGAGTCATCATTAATATTAAAATTAAGATGCTTCAAATGATGAAGATTCTACAAAATAAAATAATTTCCACAATTTATTTTCATTTTTATTTTTAATTTCGAATTTTCTAATAAAATCAGAAAATAATTTTCAAAAATTATTTTTAACTTATATTAATATCTCTCATAATATATAAATCATTTACAAATGATTTAATGAGGAAAAACATGCTTAAAAAAATAACATAAACACTTTTATTTTTCTAATAATAGCATAAATTGTGAAAATTCACAATTAATTAAAATTATGCTATTCTTAATATTTAAAAAAATCCATAATAACTAAATTTTTATGTTTAATAAAATTTAGATATCAATAATAAAATTTTCGGAATCAAATCGGACTTAAATTCCCTTTACGATTGAAAACCGAAGATTTTATTGTAATCTCTACTGTTCTCGATTATGAATTTTAACTTAATCTTGAAATACTTTACTTATTATCTATACTCAGTTAATTACTCTTACTGATTTAACTTATAACTTTTTACTGTGGTAAATAACTTTTACTACGGTAAATAAATTTTACTGCGGTAAATAAATTTTTACTGCGGTAAATAATTTTTACTGACTTACTAAAATATGGGGTATTACATTTGTGCTCATGGTTTTGCAGGTCCTTTCTCTAGTCGGAACTATCTTGGTTAGATTTTTAGTAGAATTTTATACGTCTAAATGTGAAGGATTTGAATATATTCGTGGTCTGATAAATTTTAAATATTAGGACAAAGATACAAAAATCAAATATTTAGGTCATCACCAGCCCTTATCTCTACTCTAGCGGACTTTAATCTACTCTATAGTAAAGTGAAACATCCTTCTCCAGCTCTTATCTCTACATTTTACTCTACATCAAATATATTATTATTTTATTTATTATTATTTCAAATAAATTAATATATATATATATGTATATTTAATCTTATATAAATATTTATTACCCAAATAATAAAAATGTATTTTATTTATTTATTTTAATGAATACTTGTTTGAATATGTTACATTTTTATTAATATGGTACCATTTTAATATTAAAAATTTGTAAAATAAAATTCTAATACATCAATAATAAAAAAAAAAAAAAATTGTTTAGCATAAAAAATACATTGCACAAAGTTATTTAGCATAAAAATAAATTTATTAATACACATTATACAAAAATTTATCAACAATATTACATTAAAATGCATTAAAAAAAATAGCATTGGAGCCACAGTGTTACGCTAGATGTGGGACAACACTATTCACATCTCTCCAATAGCGCAAGCGTGTAGCGCAGGGTTGGACAAATTTTTATCGCTGTTCCAGCACAAAGAGTGAAGAATCTAGATCAGCATTGGACACACTGTTAGGAAGGAAATAAATTTTCTTTTGCTCAATGCTAATAGTCAAAATAGAAATAGACGATAAGTGCATGGGTCGATTTGAAATTTTAGATATTTTGGTCTGTTCACAAAAACACAACTTCTGCGAGTTCAGGCCCAAGCCTCGAGGAGGTACCGACCATCGTTCCGTCGGGAGTCCTGTTGTTCATAGTTTGGGTCCTTTAGTGCGGCTTGCCGTCTGTTGATCTCTCCTTCGAGCACTCCGGTGAGGCGAGTTGGTGTCCTCGCGGCGGCTTCCTCTCCTCCCCAGCGTGGCGGAGTCCAGATCTGAACCAAGAGCAGTCTCTTCTTCATATCCGTCTAGGCGGCACAAGTGGTCGCAGTTTTCGGGCTCGAGGTTCTGATTTGTGGTTTTGTTGGATCTCTTTGCTAGTGGATGTGGATCGTGTGTGGTCCTCGGTGGTTGGGCATCGAGTCTGTTATGTGTAGGGGAGGTTTTAGTTTATTTGTACATTAGGTGTGTGTTTATTTTTTTATGTTTTTTGTGTGTTAGTCCAGCTTGTCTGGTTGATCTCCTTCATGGAGTTTATTATTTTCCTTTGTGAAATTTAGTTTTGGGTTTGCGATTGCATCCGTGTTGGATTTGTACCTCTTGAATTCTTCCGGAACTCCAAGAAGATAAGTCCAGTTATCTAGTTCCTTGGTGTCCGTTGACATCGACTTTGTACTTTTTTTGAGTTTTCTAGTTATATATTTGTTTGTCGTTGGAAAAAAAACAATACACAACTTCTACAGCGGCAAACCCCTCAATCTCTAGGCAGAAAGCAAAAACCCGGCGAAAAACAAAAGGTAAGAAAGACTGGTTAAATATGTCAAATCAACCAATGAGTTCCGGCGAGCCCGTGAATCAGTAGACGAGAAAAAGGCCTTTGGTGGAGATTGATAAGCCGACGACGGTAATGTGCACGGTGGTGGCAATTGATCACACAAATCTTGTTACAGAGTTTGCTCCGTCTGCGAAAAGAATCTTCCTGAGAATCTCGAATTGTTTGTAAGCACTGCACCTTTAGCAACAGCTTCAACCCTACCACTTCTGCTTCCAAGCAGCTCTTTCGTATTCTTGTAAGCATTCTTCTGATTTTTTATTTTTTTTAAGAAAGGGCAATGTTGAAATGTTAGGAATTAGCTTTTATTCCGGTTTCTTCAGATAATTTGAGTTGGTATTGTAAAGCTTTAATTCTGGGTTTTTTTTAGACGATGCAGATTAGCAGTCATGTTTATGGTTGTTTTTTGGAGAAACTTGCAAAATTGATGGCAAAATTTCAAAAATGGTCCATTATGTTGGCTATTTTCCGAAAATGGTCCATCATATAGGGTGTCATCAATAATGGTCCACTATATTGTCACTTTTAATCAAAACTCGTACAAATGCCAACATAGTGGACTAAAAGTGATTAAAACTTTTAATCACTTTTAGTCCACTATGTTGGCATTTGTACGAGTTTTGATTAAAAGTTAGTTTTAATCACTTTTAGTCCACTATGTTGGCATTTGTACGAGTTTTGATTAAAAGTGACAATATAGTGGACCATTATTGATGACACCCTATATGATGGACCTTTTTGGAAAATGGTCAACATAGTGGACTAAAAATGAAATTTAGCCTTGTATGAATTAAGGAATTGCAATAGTATACTTGTGGCTTTCAAAACTGAGACAATTTTCCCTATGAAAAACAAAGGCATCTTCTTTTTGCGATTTTAGTTGTGTAGTTTGAGGACTTTGCAAATTTTCTATAATACTTGGTGTGGAACTTTTCTGTAGTTTTTGTTAGAAATTAGAATCACTAGTTGTTCATTTGATTTTGTCTTCCAAAATGAAGAAAAAAGTTATCGCCGTTGTACATTGGCTTTCATACGGAAATGCGTATTCTAAATGTCCCCTCCTCTCGGATAATACAATATTTTGGAGCCGTAAGTAAACATGGAATTGGCTCCGACACCCTTTTAAACTTGATAATGATAATATATCTGGTGCAAATGCATTTTGGGAGTAGTTGGAGTATTAGAATAGCTTCCAAGTCGAAATTTACACCAACTTAAATAGGACCAGAATTGTACAAACCTAAAATCTATGGTACCAAGTTTGCCAAAAGTCACAAGTTACTGGATTAAAATCTCAACTGCAGAAGTTACAAGGCTGATACTGGGACACCCTTATAGATAGAGTTTGATTTTGTATTCTTGGTGTTTTGTCTAGTATAGAATTATCTATGATGCGAAAATATCATTTTTTGTTTTGTTTGTCATTTTCTTTTTGGTATTTGCAGATGTCGATAGCTACAGATACAAAGGTGTTTGTGGTGATAATGTTTGACAGGACTGCCAGGGTGTTGTTTGGATGCTCGGCAGATGAGTTCTTTGATTTTGCAAAGACCAACCCTTATGCTGGTGTGCTTCTCTTTATTTTCCTTTTTCTATATACGTATAAACTACTCTACATTTTGTAATAACAAAGTGGTTAGTTTGGTGATGTACGATGTTAATACACTATTATTGTGCAGCCATGGCAGCAGGTGGGGCATTGGAGGGGGAGATGCTGGCAGTGACACTATCAAAGCCGAAAAATGGTAATGCACAACACATTTGAGTTGTATCTGTTGTGCCCTTGCGTTCTATTTTTCAACCGACTATTGTGACTTTAAGGGAAGTGTATCGAGCAAGAGGAGCTTCATCACAAACTCGCTAATGACTTGAAAACATTGATCGACAGTTTTAATGGACGTCTGAAAGATGTGATGATTCTTCATTTTCTTATTTGTTATGACCATTTCTTGTGTAGTGAATTAAGCAGCCAATATTTGTTGGTACTGAAAGATGAACGTTTTTAATGAGATATTGAACGCTATGATGGACAAGGTACCTTTTAGACTGTGCCGCCTTGTGATTTTTGCGGTTCTGCAATATTCTGTAAAACAGATTTATGGTCATAACATTTTGTGGTAATGGTAATGTTTGGATCTGGCGAACTGTGAAAATGTAATCTCCAATACGATTGACAGATGGTCATACATGATTCTTCCAAGAAATCTATATACATATATATATATAGGGATTGGTTCCAATGCATCCACATTCTTAAAGTGAGGACGTGAGGCTCATTTCTAGTCACAAGATTTGGTACATAATGAGTGGCTAAGATTTAATCT